GAGATAGTGGGAGAGGGAGAGAAAGAGGTAACGCCGAAGGACTCTCGAAGCAACCCTCGACAGCCCCCAAAATCCATTAGACCGGAAAACGAGGTAGAATCGTAGAACGCAATGGCGTCTAGAAACAAACGACGGCCGATAGGAGTGAACAAGCAGTGAATCACCCAAGCACTTGTTTACCAAGAGAATCAGGGATTCAGGGATGCCGTTCCCGACTCTTGGAATCCAGCCCCATCGCGCTGCTCGTTTTCTCTCTCTCACTCTCTGTCTCATTCTCTCGTTCCCTCTCTATCTCCCTCTCTTTCTCTCTCTCTCTTTCTCCACATTCCCTTTCCACTATCCAAGCTCCCTCCCCCATCACCCTCGCCATCAGTTCACCACCGTCGTATGGTACGATCTTCCGAAGGCGGATGGAGTAGCTCTTCGCATACACGCGCCGTATCTCGAAACGAGAGAAAGAAAGACGGAGATCGCGACGGTGCAGGATGGAGAGCGCGAGCGAAAGAGGGAAAGAGAGAGAAAGAGGGGTTTCGCAGGAGGGAGAGAAGGGGAGAAGTTACGTAGACACAGAAGCGGCACTAGAATCGCTAAATGTAATTCGGTTAAAAGGGTTTTAGCAATACAATGCATATAAACATGAGTGCCCCACCCTCGTCGCCGCCACGTCCGCTTACCCTCCACCCCTCGCCACTTGCCTGCTGCTATCTTCGCAATCCTCTCCCGCAACGGCGACGACTCTCGGCTTCCTCCTCTCGATGAGGACGAGCGAAATCAGCTAACCGAGGTATAACGTCCGTCGAATGAACGCCCGGTGAGTCTCGGTGTGAGATCAGACGATATGACTCCACGCTTGAATTCTTATGCCTCGGCGTTTGAAGCGGTGGGATTCTGGAATTTTGATGCTGAAGAAAGACTCACTTAAGACACGATGGTGCCAAAAGTGTATAGCGCACGTAATCTCAAGTAATTCGCTTATCCGCTTCGTGTTAAATCTCGTTCGGCTCCTTGAGCCAAAACATTGACTCTCGATAGATAGCTTTGCAAAACTGTCTATACGATGCTTCAAAGCGTCTGCAACGTGAAATATACTCTAGCCTGTAAAAAAATCGATGGATATGTAGCCCCATTTTACAGTAATTCTTCAGCCAAAAGTTACATAATGTTTGCGTTCAGCAGAAAAACAGCTTGATAAGCGCTTTGTGATTATTGCTTCTGATTGGTACTTTTCCTAGGTCTATGGAAGATCTAAAAAAATATTCATATATCACAGACAATAATCACGGAGCGCTTGGTAGGCTGCTTCATCTGCTAAATGCGGGCAATAAAATTGTTACCTAGAAATATCAAATGTCGTGTTTTATGAGCAAAAAATGTTGGACGGATACATTGGACGCCAACGAACGATTCGTTTCTCTGCGAGATTAAGTAATATTTCGAGTATGTATTATTTAGACATGCAATGTAAGAAATTAACTCGTTAATACCTTTAAAATGTTTATTCCTTAATTGTTTAATTGTTCGCATTTAAAAATAACACGAATATATTCGAATATCGGTGCGAGTTGCTAAGAAATGGCGGACCGATGAAAGAAAGGGTTGTTTCATGCCCATGACTCCTATTAGAAGGTCTCTAGCCGCGATAGATCGTGAGCGATGCGCGCGCGAATAAATCCCCGCGTGGCCCGAAGAAGGGAACACGCGGAGAACGTAAAGCGGGATTGGTCGTTATGCTAATTCTCGAGAGCGTCACGGTAACGTCGTCTCGCGACGCGGGTTGGCATTCCTCGAAAAAGCTTTACGGCCATTTCCTTTTTCCACCACGCCGAGCCGTGGCGTAAACGGAGATATGGCCCCATGCCAGAACGTTCTCGAGATCGTCCTGCCCGATTCGGGCAATCCCGGATTTTTCTTCGCAAATAATCACGCCGGGTAAAACTCGCTCGAGTTGCTCTCGCCGCGGATTTTTCACTGAGTGAAAGATGAGGACGAAAAATCAGAGTGGCACGACTGGCGGGTGGGTGCGTTAGGCGGAGGAGTTTGGCGATCGAATCAGTAATAAGAGCGGTGGAATCTGACGAATCTGCAGCGCGATGACGGAGATTGCCGGGGAAATACACGGGTATAAGCGAGGAGGCTCGCGCGCTCGAACGAGTATCCGCGATGCGATCTTCCGAAATTTTCAATTCTACATTAAATCTTCAAGTAGAGGAAATGAGTTCCCATTTGTAGCATCGAAGTAGCACAATAGAAAACTTTTGAAGACTCAATCTATTGCGGGCCGGGCGGATGTTGTACGCGCGAAATCACCGTTCTCGCGAATAACGGTTCCGCATTTTAGTCTCGGATCTTCCGCACCGGCTTGCGTATCCCGATTCTCCCTCATGACGGTTTCGCATTCGTAATCTCTCCGCTGCTCGCTATATCGCCCCCGCCCAATTTATCAATGCGCCCCGGCGTCCTCGATTCTCGCGTGATGGTTCGCTCGGAGCCCGCCTAGGAAAAAGGAAATGGCAGCGTGGGGAAAAGCGGAACGGTACGCGGCGAGTGACATCGATCCGCGTTCGTCAAATACGACTTTACCTCCTCTTTGCGCCGTTCCGCACCGGCTGACGTTTTCCGAACGACCGCCGCCACCGTCGTCGTCACCGGCGCTGGATCCGTCCCGGTCGTCCGCGGAATGTCGTGGAATTCGTAACTGGGGATTAGCATGTCATAAATACTGATGCCGCGCCCCGAACTGGGACTTACGCCCGCCGCTCCTTCGAGCGCCTTTCGTAACATGCCGTTTCGGTTCTCCGCCGGCCAGGCCCGTGCGGGGGTGGTTATCCGCGTCGGGGATGAAGCCTCTCATTTACAAACCATATACCAATCAGCGGCCATCATGCAAATAGCGTGAGACCCGGCTCCCTCGCACACGCGGCCGGATACCAGCGGATCGTCGGAAATGCGAAGTCAAGTCTGATATTTTTCGGATCCGTGCGAATTTACCTCGCATTTCCCGCGGTGATAGTAATTCGGCAAGACGGATCGGTTTAACGGCGAAACGAGCCACTTTGAAGTCGTTCTTCACTCGAGCCAACTGTGTCCAACGAAATAATAAGTGATACCTTTGCCGCTGAATTTTATATAAACTCATTAATCTTATTTAAGATCTCGCCTTGTCGGACAAATAATTCATACATAGAAATAAAATGCACTTGGCTCTGTTCTCTAATAGCGATTAGATCAGATTGGAGGATCTCTGGAGGAGAAAATGACGCTCGAGGGGTGAGAAAAAGAAAGCGGGTCGAGTTTGCTTGATTTCATAATTTATTTAGGAACTTGTCGCGATATATCATATCGTTTATCTGCATCGCATTCGCTAAACTTAGAACCTATGCGGGTAATATTTACACTCACATCGTATACCGTAAATACATGGCTCCTCGCTCGCTCGCACTCGCGTGAAGATACTCGAGTAACGCTCGCATCCGGACAGACGCCACCCACGGAAAGACAGAGAAAGGGAAAGATAAAGAGAGAAAAATAGTAGAATAGAGTAGAGCAAAGAGAGAGAGAGAGAGAGAGAGAATTCCGCGATTCCGTCGTCTCTTGACACCGTCTATATTAACAACGTCACGGTTCCGGTGCGTTTATCTGGCGTCTCTATCTTACAAGCCGAGCGAACACAGAATAAATAGTCTCTAGAGTGTCTATGTACACGACGGGCTTAAGCTAAACGGCATCCATCTCAGATCCTCCGCAGATCCCGAGGCGAATTCGCTTGGTATCACTAGATCGCACACGATCACGACACACACAGATCCTCCGGTCGCGTCACATCGTTTGCAATCCGCGTCTTCTCCGTACGGCGGACGATAGGCATGGGTAATTCGATCGTGTAACCCCGAACGAGAGACGCTTCTCGACGGTGACGTCGGTGGGATAATTAACCGCGATTAACAAGCGAGGTACTGTTCACAATCGTGATCGCGATTACCGTCTCGTACGCAACACACTATTTACAAATCGGAATTTTGGTTTATTACGGTAAATCGTAGGATGAGATATATATGTACACGAGATCGATTGTGTTTTTTGTAGAAAACCGGGATCGGTAGTTGGCAGGGATCGACGGTAACGCGTGGAAACCGATGCGATCTCGGTCGAGACGGACTTCGGCGACTCTGATGTACGCGAAAATAGTTTCCACGTCCATCCACTCGTGGAAACACGACAATCGACATTAGCTACGGTTTCACATTGTGCCTACAGTGCCAAAAATCCAAGGCATCGGAATCGCACCGGTTTCGATCCGATCAATCGATCCGATAAATAGCAAGTCATGGTAACTTTCGCTGTCAGAGTTGACTAAAAATGATATATAAAATATCGCAATTGATAATAAAGCGGAGCATTCTTGGTTTCTCGTGAAAGAGTTTATACAAGAACAATCGTGTGCGGACGCAGTCGAAATGATAAGAAGAACTCAACTTCAATAATCGAGTCTTAAGAATATGATTACGATCTCTTTTGAAAAGATAATTTTTAGGAAATGATCAGCGAAAAAAGTATGCCTGATGTGATAACTTATTCGTCTTTAATCGTTAGAGGACCAACGACATACTTTCCTAAATCTTCCCAAAGAAGCGTTCTTCTTCTTTCCTTCACTTCTTTTTCTTATTAAATTAATGATATTCGCAGATAAATATTGTTATCTGTCAATATCATCAAATTATAACATGAGCGACTTAAAGGACCGTCTACGATGCAGGTAGTAAGACTACCGGAGTAAGGAGTAAGAGTTTTTCCGGTGGAATAAACGTAACACCGGGAGTAAGAAAAATGGATCCTTTCCATTTCCTACTCTCTACTACCTTACTGCCGGCCAATATCCTACTCCTTACCTATTACTGCTTACTTCCACTGTAGACGGACCTTAAAACGAGCGACAAAAATGTAGCAAGGATTTTCTGAAAGACGTTGGTCCTCCGAAGATTAAACGCGCCCTCGTTGGTCCTTTAAACCACATAAGGCCGGTACAAGGGTTCCTGAAGATCCGTGCCGGTCCTTTGACTCTCCTGGAGCGTTCCCCTGGACTCCTCTGGAGTTCCGGGTGCGTTGACGCTAACGTCGCTCCCGGCGTCTCGCTCGGTACTCCTCGTGCTTCCGGCGTCCTCGACTTTTCCGCTCGTGCGAGCCTCCTGCTGCGCCTTCTTGCTGCGCTTCCACTTCATCCGTCGGTTTTGAAACCAAATTTTCACCTGCAAGGAAATTGCATCGTGTCACTCGCAGTCGGATATATCGGCCGAATTTGTTTGTTACGCGCAAAAATCGATGGAAAGAAAAAGAGAGAAAAATAGATAGATTAGATAGATAGATTGCTTTTATCCTAGGTCAATTCCTCTAAGGATACTATAGATATACTGAGAGAAAAATTTAATAATTTATTTAATTTAATATTTAATTTAATATTTTATTTAATATTTGTAACTAGAATCATCATAATGAAAGAATTGCAGTGAAAAGAACCATTTTTCTAATAAATGTTATCACAATGTCAGTGATAATAACGTCACGTGCATATTGCTGCTTTTATGTGATTAAAACCATGAAACGAGTATAGCTGAGGCTGAAGATAACTGTAATTTCTCTCAGTGTATGAAATCGAGAAAAAGAAAGAGAGATCAAAAGGACTACGTGACTATAGGCGATTTTTCGAGGAACTAACAACTATCTCTCGCGGACAATGTCTACGCCGATAAAACGGTTTCGATGCCGAGTGGTCCGTATCACGGATTAATTTCAGATAATTACGATAGCGTTGCGAGCACCGCCGTGCGCGGGGAGGAGAATCGCTATGCGCAGTTTGTCGTCGTATAATCCGTTTGAACGTGTACTTTCGCGCGTAACGGTAGAAACGCGGAGCGCGTAATGAGAACGGGATCGTTAATTGTCCACGACGAAGGGACCGACGAGAGTTTCTTTCGAACGCGAGCTCTTGACGTTCGTCCCACGCCCGATTTAATTTGGCGAATGCGCGCCTCCATGAGCGCGGGACGTCACGTGAGCCACCCCGAGACACCGTAAATCAGGTAGACAGATACAGGGACTCGATTTTTCCTCCCCAATCGTAAGAAAACGATGTAAATCTTTCGGACAACATATCATGCGCCCGGGCCAATCCCCTCCAGGCACGCCGACCGTATTATATCTTTACCCTCCATAGGAGCGCGCAGCTTTCTCGTACGAATACGAATGGGAGTCCGGGAACGACGACGTTCCCACCGGGTCTTCGCGATCCTCACCGTGAGGAGTCTCACACGTGACAAGATGAATTAACTGCTCCTTCATACTAATCACCGCGAGCGAATTACTTCGTTATCAGGGAATGCTTTTGTGCCACGAAATTTTGAAACCGCAGCTTTGGATCTGTCTGTAACAACGTAAACGGATACACGAAGGAAGTGTTAAAGAACTGAATGCGACAAGAATAAATCGGTAGGGAGACGTGATATTGATTTATGTCGAAAATGTTTCTCTCGGAGCTCATGCTTCGGTCTGCGATAAAATAACGGCCGCCATCGCTTTCCGATCAGCTGGATAATTCGATAGGCGAATCGCTGCGACGACAACTTACGTAAATCATTCGCGCCGCGTTAACAAATAATTCGGAGCGCGAGGTAAACAAGCGCGGGGGCTGAATTCGGAGAGGGTGAGGAACGGGGGTGGATCGGGCGAAGGCGCGAATTGTACGCGCGAGCGGGTCGGTCGAAAAAAATGGATCGAAGGTGGGAAAAAAAGCGACGCGCGAAAATAAATATTTGTCGGTGATAAACCGACGCGATGAAGAGCGAGCGAACGAGCGCCGGCACGAGAGAGAGAGTGAGAAAAGAGGAAACATTGGTGCTGTAAATTATCTCGCGAACCGAAATTAATCGACACCTTGTACATGGGAAACCGAACGACAATGAATCATGGGACGTCGAGGTGTCCTCCAGCGATACGACACGATCTCGCGATCGCGATCGCCCTAATTGCCGAAGATATTTTTCCCGTTGGCGATCGTCACTATAGATCTCGCGTGTTATTACCATGATTACGATCGCGATTGGACCGCGAATATTATGGCGGTCTAATTAGTTTAGCGACCCAGAAGCGGCGTAGTCGAAATTACGTCGCAGATCAGACATCCGATCTCTTCGTTGAGACGAAAACAATCGCGAGGAGTACATTAAAGAACGCATAACGCACGGAAAAAATGTCATATTTGGTCTTTCGAGCGAGATAGTGGCGCCAGTGAATTTTGCGAATTTCCGCACCGTGAAGTGCAACGGCGCGAACTCGACGGTAACATTCACCTTATAATTATTTGGAATATACGGTGCCCTGTAAAAAAGACTGTTTAATCCGTCTAACACGGAGAGAAGTGGAGAACTACTCGGTAACGACGAAAGTTATAACACAGAGAAAGAGAGAAAGAAAGGACGGGGGATTCTCGTAGGATGCATGCGAGCTAGGGCTATTTTTTAAACAAACACCCGCTCTTCGTCGGAGCAGTCGCGACGCGTCGCTTCGCGTCGTGGTGCTCACGCTCGGACGGTAAATCGCCGGTAATCGCGTTTCTGCAAGCGCGGAGCTCAGACGGAAATGGGGAAACAGGAGGCGGGAAGGCGGAAGAGGAGGAAGAGGAGGAGGAGGACGACACCGGTCGGAAGGCCGAGGTCGGAGGCGAGGAGCGAGGCGGAATCGGTAAAATATCGAAACAAATCAGCGACTGAGCCCGCCATAACTCAGACTTTCACGTCTGTTTGCCGAGCGATCCGTCAGGGCTCGTAAGCTTCGGAGTTATGTTTAAGTTGTTGAACTATGCGAGGAGAGAGGAGATTCGCGTGCACGGCGTCGGACGGAAGGGCGGGTTCGGATTATTCGGAGGGATTTTCTCTCTTTCGAGGCTCTTTTTCCCCTCCTCACCGTTCGCTCTCTCGCTCCCTCCCGTTTCCGCCGCGCGATTTCGCGAATTTCCATTTTCGCGCTATTTACCGGCCGACGTCGTCGCTCAACTCCTCATCGGGAGGACGACTCTCGACGCTAACTCTCGACGTCAACTCCGATGCAGAACTCGCGTCGCGGAGAACGATCGATCCCAGTGCTCCTTAATGATTCTCCGCGAAGCGATTCCGCCTCGATCTGCGCTCTCCGCATCGTTCGGTTTGTGACTGCGTGAAGAGCGCGCTTCCTACGCGCTTAAAACGATTAAAACGTGTACATATATATTTTACGGCGCTATCGTGATACGCTTCGAGTTCCGTTACCACGTTACCGCGCTTGTCACGATTTTTTTCAGAGAAGATGACGAACCAATTCTATCGTGTGCGAAATTACGCTTTATTACGTTTCGTCGCGAAACTTAAGTTATAAATGACTCACGATGTTACGTTAGGTTTCTTTCTCGTTCGGACGTGAGTAATAAAAATCGCTAATCACGAAACTTATCACGCGCGGGATGACTCACGGGCTCAGGGCCACCGGCCGAATTTCGGATATCGGATCGTGAAAGTTAATGCGTGATTCAACATTATTATCTCTGTTTACCTGGGTTTCCGTTAGCATCAACGACGTCGCGACTTCGAACCTCTTCGGTCTACTGAGGTACTTGTTCTGTCGAAATTGTTTCTCCAGCTCCAGAAGCTGCTGAGACGTGAACGCGGTCCTGGGCCTCCTGGTCTTACCCAGCAACGCGTGCTGCGCCGCACAACCTGTTTACAGAAAAGAAATTTTTCCGATCAGGAATTTTTCGATTATACGACAGTTTGAAATTACGATGTATTTGCGGCTGCAGTCTGTAAATTGAAAAATTACTCCCTACGCGATTTCACGATGGGAATGTACGAAACGAATTCGCGCTGAGCTCTTACCTCGCACAGTGTGTACCTTTTGAATTGATATGAATATTTTAGCGAATGTCACGTTGATCTCGCTGTAACGAAAATGTGTATTCGACAATTTCTTTTTTATTAAATTTGCTAATTTTGCGTGTCCCAACTCCTCCTTCTTTTCGTGAAAAAGTCGCAAACGAATGCGATTTTAGTCCGGAGCAAACAGCTCGGAGAGCGAAAATGATTCGTTATTGCGAGCCGGGCGATCCAATAAAAATCATCGAATGCTAATGCAATTATCGCGAGTGTAAATCCCTATGGATTACGGGGGATGATTTGGGGTTAGACGATAGGGCGGAAAGCCGCCCCTGCAATTAGCCCCGTGAATGACTCTTGGTCAGGGGAGAATCGCCGACTTATAGCGGCATAGGCGTAGGGTAGGACGAAGCCTGACGGAATTATCACGACGATACGAACGTTCCAGCGTCGTTATCCCCTGATATTCAGGTCGCGCTCGAATAAATAAACGCGGTTGCATTATAAAAGTAGCACATATTTTATCGTAAAATTACAATTTATCTCTGTATCCTACAAGTGGCATAACTTCTCGAACCAACTTTAATCACTGCAAGTTTTATAATATTACATTTTTTTTAATACAGAATTCATCATTTTTCATGCAATAATTGTAAATAACACATGAAAAAAATAATTAACGAATTTTGTGGTAGATTGTACGAGATGATAAAGAGGGAGATTGTTAAGATAGTATTAAAGTACCCCGTAATAAGCTCAAGTTTGTATGAACGGTACCGTTTGGTCCACGACGCCGAAATTATTCCCGTCACCGCGACGCCACGTGTTTTTGTTGTCGCCATGCGCGCCGTGTCCACGGTTTCCACGATTAGCGGGGTGGACCTTGCGTCACTGGCTTAAGCACCCTCGTAACTTAACTAGCAAGTGCGTGACCGGCTGTCAGTGTTTGTACACATGGCGGCGTTTAGTCGAGCGCATTCGGATTACCGTTGGTCGGAGCGCGCGTGATTCACTAAGCCGCGTACGAGCAGGTACGCGATCTCTCGCTCACCCTCGAAGAAGGGACCCGGGTATTTTGATATAGGACCGGCCGATTTCACGCCCGATACACAAATACGTGTCTTTGTGTGATCGCGTGAATGTGCTCGCACGAATTTCGCGCAAACGATAATGTGTCCTGAGTCTCTTAAATTTATACACATTATTAATAACTTTCGAATTTTTATTTGTATTAATACTAGTATAAATATTGTAAGAAATAATTATAATTGTATGAATTATATATATACATAAAAATTTATTAATTTCATACAATTTTATATTTATTATGTATTTTCTTAATATAAAATTATATATTTATTGTTTATTATATATATACATACAATGTATAAGTAAATATTATGAGAGTGATGACAAAAGTGAATGCAAAAATGTTTTGACGTAGAATAGAAAATGTTATATTATTTGGGCGAAATTCAACTAAGACAAAACGATTCGTGTAATTTTCTCGAATTTTCCCCGCTCGTGTAAATTTCATGCATTTTGTATTTACGATACGCGAAACTGTCACACTGTTGCTTGATAATTTTCGTCTCGTTACGGACAAAAAAAATTAATACGCGTGTGGGGCGCTTTTGACGATTGTCAATGGGAGCGGACGTCGTGCACGCGCGAGGGACGAGGGACTACATTTGATAGTTGTTAGTATTTAGACTGTAGCATTTATTGGGTTATTTATCGTTGGTCGAAGAGGAGTTCGCCCCCTGCTGGGCACATATGGCCTGACCGATGATTTCCCTCCCCGCTGATTCGTGACAATTATTACTTGCACCATTGCGCCCGCGCTGCCGCATTCTCCTCGCTCCTCGTCCCGTCATGATTTATTTTTATGTCCCTTTTTTCAATTTCATCGTTCGTGGCACCGTGCATTCGTGCACTGCCCATTAGATGCTCGTGACACGCCGCCTGTCGCACAGTATTATGCCGCATTTCGTCGTCGCGAATTTCAGCGTGGGCCAATCTAACGCTCCATTTATCGCACGTACTGCGAGCGCTAATGGCGAAGATAAAATCACTCCGCGTTTAATTAACTCCTAGCGATTGCCAAGCGCGATTTATTATGCTATAATTAAATTCTAATCTACGATCATTGTCGGTCAAGCTGATCGAAAGTTCAAGAGGCACTGAATCGAGATAAGTCGTTTATTTCCCTTTTAATATTTCAATTCTTGATAATTAATTTCGAGAAAAGTATTAATGATATATTTCTCTCAGTGATAAAATTAATATATACCGAGTCACGTCCCCTCTTTTACAATGCAAGATGTTGGAGTTCAGTAGAAAAAGCAGTTTAATAAGCGCTTTACGCTGTGCTGTCAGCAGCTTTGCAACTATTTGCAACTAGTTCACGCTTCTTCCCCAGACTAATTTCCAACAACATTCAGCGCAATAATTAGTATTTTTCGCGTAGAAAAATTCTTATTCATTGCAATTTCATCGGGGATCGTTCGTTAGATCGTTATGATTTGTCGTAATCAACGCTGAGGTGTAATCCGCAGAAACCCGTCAATCGATCTCGGCCACTTACTTCCATCATTCGTCGAGAGTTCAAGGAGCGATTGGACAAATGACTATCATAAATTTTCGCACCCTTCGCCACTGAATTAGCCGGCACGTCGTGATAATTATTCATTGAGCCTCCGGGCGTATTAATTGACGGGACATGTCGCAAGCACACCGAAGAAATCCATCCATTGCGATCGAGGGGGGTTTGGCAACTGACATACGGCACGTACCCCCCAGAGTAAGGCTGTCGCGTTAACTAACTGCAAACAACCCTCGAATAAACAAATGCGGTCCGGCGCAACCGTGCTATTGCGAAATCGATAAAGACAATCTGGGGACTTGGTGGAAAAATAATACGAGTGGTATCGATACTGATATAAAAGCGGCGGTAGAAATCGGGGTAGTTAACGCAAAAAATATTTATTAAAGTGCAATGCATTTATTTTATTCATATATACTGGGAGAAAAACATTTAGCATTTTTAACTACATAATCATCATAGTAAAAGAATTATAATTGGGAAAATCAATTTTTTAATAAGTGTTAGTGATAATAACGTTACATGTATGTTATACTATTTTTGTGGTTAAAACTATAAAAAGGTTATAGTCGGCACTGAAAGTAACTATAATTTCTTTCAGTGTAATCATCAGTTTTCTTCCAAATTAAACTAAAACTTCCAATTAGGGATGTGCGATACAATAAAAAATATCGATATTTCGTGTCATATATAAAAATATCAATATATATTGATGCGGTTATCGATATTTCTTATTGTATAGTCCATTCCTACTTCCAATGACGTGTTACACACAAATTCCAAGTACTTGTCCCTCTAATTGATTGCCGCAATTAATTTCCACGACTCTTCTCGAAGTATTCACACGTCTGCGGCTGAATCGGCGCGTTTCCACATTGACACGCGGAGAATGCAGCGCGTCCCGCTAAATTGATCATTTGGCGCGCTGCGCGTCGATCGGGATCGGAAAATGCGCAAACCGTGACAGATGTCAGTAAACACCGAGGGCGACTTTATCGAGTGGACAATCACCATTCGCGCTCTTATATTCCGGGAGTACCCCGGGGGTCGCCGGGGGAGGGCCTTTATCATGATAATTTAATTTATTGGGGTCCCATCGGCCGCTTCATGCCGGGCCACCCTGAAATCGTGCCGATCATCGCGGCGGTAAACACCACCTATTATCTGTACTTAAAGCGGCCACTCTCCACCCCTCTTCGTCGCTTCGATCTCGCCATCCCCCTGCTCCTTCTCTGCACTGTCGTCACCCTGTAGGTTACCCGTGGAAAAATTACGCTGGTCGCCGGTCGCATGAATACCTCCGCGCCGCAATGAGGGGTGGTGGGTGATGGTGCGGTGGGTATCGCGGAAAATTTCGTTCTGCGTCGTTAACGGATACGGGATGACGAGGCGAGTTGAGCCGGCATTTTCGCGCGAGCGGTGCTCCGTGAAATTTGCAGCGGGAACAAAATTTTTATTCAAATAATTAATTAGTAGGGATGAATTTTTAAATAATTCAGAATAAAAATAAATTACATATTCTTCTTTCCAATTAAAATGAAGGAATGTTCATTAAATGAAACACACGCGCTCTCTCGTTCTCGTTTCGCTAATTGTTTTTATCACGCCGAATTCGAAGCGACATTTTCGTGATGTCGTAATTTTTAAAAATGCAACGATTTACAACGTCGAGAGTGACATGGCCGAGGCAGTCGCCGTTACGTAATACTTACGAAATTAATGATGCGAGTATAACTTTTTTTTCCGCCGACCCGAGATCGGATCTCGCGCGGCTCTTTTTTATTTTTTCTTTTTTTTCGGGCCTGCGAATCGCACGGTATCTCGGACTAACGAGTAACTACCCTCGTTAACTCCCGGGCGAAGGGTACGCTTAATTAAAACTGATTACTCGATCCGAGCTCCCGCAGGAACTTCACCTTCGTTTTTAGTCCTTTTTGCGTCACTCGCCCGAGCGGCGCGTTACGGAATGACCCGAACGCTCCGTGTCACGATTCGAAAGCATCGCGACGTATTCCCTGTAGTAGAATAACTATTATATACGACGTGTATGTATCGTATGTAAAATTATCACATTGTTTAATATTATATACTTGACCGTGTTCAGATGCTCCGCTTAATCTCACCGATTTTAACTCCTTGCAAAGTTTCCTCATTTCTTTCACGATCGTTTCTCCGCTATTCCTCAGCTAATTTTTTTGAAACGAAATCTGCTACTCGAAAGAAGCTGCGAACCTTTTCA